TGGTGTCGGAAAATGCCGGTAAACTTGGTATCGGTTTGATGTTAGTGTATATGTTGTTTGACGAACAAAGGGGAGAAGTGTATGAGAGATCAGATTGTGATGAAGAGATGATTAGCTGCAGAGATATGACGGCACAGGAAATGAATCTGTTTCCCAAAAAGTGGACAAAAGGGGTGTTTGTGACCACATATTACGCCGAATGCACTAAACTATTGCCGTTTTTGATGCAAGAATTTAAATCAAAGGCAAGTAATTAATACCAATATTTATACTAATATATAAGTTAACTGTTGTTTTAATTATGATATAATCTGAATGTTTTTATGTAAAAAGGGGGGAAGTATTGTACAAAAGCGAGTCAACAATATAAAGGAATTGTGCGGAAAGTATGATATAGTGATCAATTGCACGGGTGTTGAGGCAAACAAGTTGTGCGGCGATCGCACAGTGTATCCAATTCGTGGTCAAGTATATCGTGTGAACGCGCCGTGGATTAGACACGGAGTGATTGCCGGCGACCACTATATACTGCCAAACAGTGACTCAGTTGTGTTGGGCGGCACACATCAGAACCACAATTCTAGCCGAGAAGTGGACACTAAGGATGGCGACGATATCATGAAAGGATGCGCTCAATTGGTGCCCAGCGTTAAAACGGCACAAGTGGTGAAACAATGGGTCGGTTTACGGCCCGCCCGGGAATCGGTTAGACTGGAGGTAGAAGTGGTCACTAATTTGGGCAATAAGTTACATGTGGTCCATAACTACGGTCACGGAGGGTCAGGCGTTACCCTATCGTACGGCTGTGCGCGAGAGGTTTTGCATAATGTTAATCAGATTCTGGCTACTAATATGTACTTACAATTATAATCTTGTTTGAATTTTAAATAAAATGATTAATATGTCTTATAAATGCATAAAACAAAAGTTTTAATTGAAATTCAGTTTATTTATTTTGATAACTTTTTGATAAGAGTATACATTAATTTCTCAATTAAGTATTAATTTAAATAAAATTATAATTATAAAAAATATAACTTTATAACAATTTCTTAAAATATACTTTTATTATATTTATAGAATATTTAACTTTTATTAATTTGATAAATTCCAGGAAAATATTTGCATTAAAATCTCAACACTTCTCA